AAAATGTTTCTCAATCAACTGTTATAAGAACCAAGCAACATAAAGATAAAACTGGTAACAATAAAAACAAACCTAAATCTGGGCATCCGGAACTCTTAACTGATCAATATAAATGAAAAGTTTTGAGATTAATTATAATAGATGAATGTAGCAATACTGTTGCAATTCAAAAAAAATTAAAAATAGAAGAACAAATTGAAGTTAGTGAATGTACAGTAAAAAAAACCTTGCATAAAAATGGAATGAGTACAAGGGTTAAGTGCAAAAAACCATATCTTTGAAAAACACATAGAATCGCAAGGATGAAATTTGCAAAAAAATACAAGTTATGGACAGTTGAAGATTAGAGTAAAGTGGTTTAATCAGATGAGTCAAAATTTATGATTTATAGATCAAATGGTAGAGAGTATTGTTAGAAAAAGTCAGGAGAACCATTATGTAATCATTATGTTAAACTAACGGTCAAATTTGGATGAGTAATATTATGGTGTGAAGATGTTTTACATTTAATAGGGTTGGTAACATATGCCAAATTTATGGATATATGAATGGTGATTTATATCGCCAAATTTTAAAGGAAGACCTATTGGAAACTATCACGTGGCATGGAATGGATAAAGAAAATATTATTTTTCAACAGGATAATGATCCTAAATACACTGTATATCTTATAAAGCAATGGTTTGAAGATAATAGGATTAAAGTTCTTGATTGACCAGCATAATCCTCTGACTTAAATCCCATAAAATACCTTTGGAATGAAATGGATCATCATTTGAGGCAGCTTGAAACACCTGTTAGAACACAAGATCAGTTATGGAATACAATTCAAAAAATTTGGGTTGAGTTGAGATCCGATGTATGCAAAAAGTTGGTTGATACTATGTCAATTCGTATAAATAATATAATTAGAGCTAATGGCAGCTATACAAAATGTAAATAATTATTTACTAAAGTTTTTAATAAGTTGGTTAGATTTTTGATTTTTTTTTATATACTTAAAAAATTTAATAAAAAAACGATCAAAAGAAAAGGATCGCCTAATTGTTTAAAAATAAATATTTTTAAAAATTTATCTCATTACTATAAACTGATTTTCATATATTGAATAGACTTGGTTATAATAAGTCTAATAAATAATTTATATGATACTGCGCTGCCTTAATCACAAGAAAATGCCATTTTAAAATTTGTATTCAGGTGATGCAATACTTTTGAACGCCATTATACATTTGATTCCAAAATACATTTTTTTTGTAAATGTATAGAATATTCTTGATTTTTCCCTTCTATTATTATATTTTTCATTGTTTCATATGTTCTTAATTTAATTGATTCAGATGATAGATTCATTTTATTAAAATTATCTTTAATAGTTATACAAGAATGACAAGGACATGTAGTATTACTAAATCCATAAGTTAAACATAATTTAGCTACTTTCGGCTAATCAATTCCAGAATTATATTAATCTAATAAAGGACTTATTATTTGATTCTAAGCTTGATGAAAAATTTTTCAATTAGCTTTTCGATAAGTATCAAAATTTTTTTCACTTTGATTATGTGTTTTTATAATAGGTAAATAACCAAGTAAAGCTTTTGCTTCTGGTTTATTCTAATAAAAAGTAGAAGATTAACAAGTATTATATAAATAGGATGACATGATATTCTTCCTAAATTATCATATATGCTTGCATCAGAATACATAATAATTGATAAAAGTTTTGCTTCAAATAGTAAATTTTTTTGAGCCTCTTTTCACTAATTACTATTATATAATTCTTGATAATAATGTACTTTAATATCCTAAAATAAATTTTTGTTATTAAATTTTATTTATTAAAGTTTATTAAAAATATATTAAAATAAATTACTATTTCATAATCATATAATTCTTCATATTCAAAATGTAATTCATATACTAAATTAATATTAGATAATAATTCTTCAAT